AGCCTGTTGTTGATGATGACGATCGTCTTCGAGTATAAAATCCAGGGGTTAGCAGTGAATATTTCGAAGACAGTAGGAAAGCGTTGTTCAGGTTAGCAGTGGATATCCTGGTAAAGTAGCAGAGCGTAGTTCAGTAATTCTTCCTTCTGTTCCTCTTCGCCTGACAAGCTGGCACTGGACATTCGAATAGAGTAAACAAAATGGCCGTCTTTATACACGACGGATTGAATACTTTACGTCTCCTGATTGGTTAACCTTCTATTGGTGGACTATAAAGTGAGTCAAGTCATTTGGGCTAGCTCACTAGTACCATATACCAAAAAAACTGCAACATAGCCCATTACCTGCGAAGAGCTGTGCCCATATGAGTTTCTTGGTCAATAGCTGTCCTTTGTTTAATTAAGTGGAAACAACAACAAAAATCACGTCTTTCGCTTGCCCAGGGTCATTGGTTATGACCCAACACATGATTAGAAAACAAATGCAGTTCAAAATATTTTTTGATAATAATAATAAAGATGATGATGCTTCATCAAGTATGGCTTTCATGGCTTTTGATCATAATTGATTGATGATGTTAACATGGACATGCTGTATATTGTTGAATTTAGGTGGGTTAAAATAAATATCCCATGCAGTACCAAGGATTTGTTTGTTAGTTGTTCGACCTTAGCCAAACGGGTCACCATTTCAGGCATGTTTGTCTGTGATGCATGTGCTTGGTATACCCCTATCAAACTGGAGGTTATGACGGCTACACAAACTTGAAAAATCTTAGATTATTAAAAAAAAATAAGCATAAAATAAAGCCCAGATTCTTTAACGCAACTCTATTAAGAATGAGTTTTTTAGGAAACGTTCTTTTAAAATTTCAGCTTTCTCAAATTTTATGCATGAAATAAAGTTTAAAACTGGGACTTTTCTAAGTATAATCAGGTTCAGCTCGAACAAAAGGTTACTTATGCCTGATCTAGCGGTTTGGGCATGTCTGATCTTTGGCCATTGACAGAATGAACGTCATTGTCAAAAAGGAATCTTACGTGAAGATGCACTTGCACGATGAACCACCCTGATGACAGCATTACTGAAAACAGTCAGAAAACTAAGATGTTCAGAGAGGAGAATTACTGTCACTTGATCTTCAGCGTAATCTACCAATGACTATTGGTGTGAACACTCAATCAATACAAATAAACTCAGTGTCAAGTGGACGAGCAATAACTGAGCAGTACTAAAAATGAGAACGAGATATCCCTAGACATGGACAGTGGAAAGAGAACTGTCTGCGCTCCCATAGATTAAAGAATGGGTTCATTTCAGAACTCCCTGTTACCCGTCTCGACATACTCCTGATAAATACCGGAGAGCAAAATGGCCGAAACATTTCGATAGCAACAGCAAAGATGAAGAAAGTAGTCTGCATGTAAATAGAGTAAATGATGAGAACTCCTTATCCCATAAATTTAGACAGGATGAAGTAATAATAATATCTAGAAGACAGCACCGCTGAACAATGGCCGCAGTACCGAAATAATTTACTGTCACTTGGCCTCCCGCGATAGTATTCTTTATATAATAAAGAATACTGAGAAAGGTGTTGGGGATTTGAGCAAACTTTCTGTTACTAAATGACAACCACCAAATATATGGTTGAATATACAACTACATGAAATAATAATAAATAGTAGTAGTAGTAGTAGTAGTAGTAGTAGTAGTAGTAGTAGTAAAACCTATCAAAATACAATGATCTTGAAATGGAGATCTTAAAAATGTGGCACATGAGGACATCAATAGTTCCAGTTGTATTTGAATCCATCGGTTTGATTGGAAAATATCCCTTGAGAATCAATGAAGGGATCCTGAGTAGCCCAAAACTTAAAGAAATATAAAAATTGTACTCAGAAGTACAGCTCATACATTACGAAGGGCTATGTATACGTAAAATATATTATCGTAAGTTTTTTTCTTCTTTTTGGCAAAAATAATCAGTGGATAATATCATGATGCCATTTTGAGTCCAGGGCTCTGTTTGGGACCCGGCGGGAAATGAGTATCCAAGAGAAATTAAAGGAAATGAAATAATAATACTAATAATAAAAGTTTCACTGGCAAGCGCTTGGAGAGAAATCGCCCTGATAGCACTCTTGTGCACAAAAGCAATCATCGTGACACTGGAATATAGAAAATCGTTAACGCTGAGCAGGCAGAAACACAGACGTGTCAAGACCTAGAGAAATGTACCAAGCAACAGCTGGAGTTGTCCACTTTGTCGCTGGCTCACTGGGAATTATTTCCAGGAATCTTTCTGTTCCGCGAGACGCGGGTAGTAGCTGTGCTTGAAACAGCATATATGCTGAGGAAAGTGTTCTGTTTCTTAGCTACGAGTAAGAGACCATCGTCACTCGGCCGAAACATCTAAGAGTCGAAGTGGATATCAAATGAAATAATAAAAATAATGATGAAAGAAATTAACTATTCTTTTTATTAGTGGTGAAACCCAGTAATAAGAAAACAAAATTCGGTAGTGAGTGATTCATTGCCGGAAGTGAGAGCAGGTATGAGGAAGTTGAGTTTAAAATAAATATATCATTTAATTGTTGCCACCATCTGTTTAAATCTGTGCTTAATATAACTTTAATTACACTCGTATTAATTATAGTTCCATTTATTTGGGTAATTGTCTAAATCTGTTTAATTCTGTGTCTGGTACAATGTTAATTAAACACGTGTTAATTGCTTGTGGTCCCATATCTTGAACTATTTTTGTTTTCACTCTATGCTGGGCTTCAAAAGATTATTAATCGTAAGCAATGGTAACGGGAGAATTAAAATGTAGTACTTGTATTTTGGTAATTGAGACCGGTTTTACTTGGTTTGATTGTTTTTGCCCGGCGGCATATTAACACCTCTATGAGTTATTTAATCCCGACATCTAAATATTTTTGACATATTTTGTATATAATTTCATACATTCTGGGTAAACGTATATTTTTTAGGTATATAGTTTATAGATGAAAGTATTTGTGTAATTTTACAATAAATATCTATTTTTATACTTTTCTTAGTGTTGTATTGATTCTAACCTGAAAAATAATATTCAAAATAATAATATACTCAATCCCTGGAGGAGGGGCATCCTTCCAGGCAGTATCGATATTTTGGGAGGGAGCTGGATCAATATCCGACGCCTGAGGCGTCCCCCAAAATGGGAAGTGCCGAGGTGGGTTGAGCAATTTTCCACAGTTTGCCGTTCAAACCACTTTAAACCTCGACCTTGTGTCACTTTGGATAGTGACGTGGGAGCAGTGAAAAATACAGCAATACAGCTCTCTCTCTCTCTCTCTCTCTTTCTTTCTTTCTTTCTTTCTCTCTCTTTCTTTCTTTCTTTCTCTCTCTCTCTCTCCCTCTCTCTCTCTTTCTCTCTCTCCCACTCTTTCTCTCTTTCTCTCTCTCTCTCTAAATAATATTAAGGACAAAAATGGCCTTCAAGTACTGGAACATAGTTGTTTTAGCAGACGACAAATGAGACTAAAAGAACTGAAAAAACTGGAAAATACCCGGATCTTATCAGAAAAATGAAAAATACGTAGAATATAAGTATGACATATATGACCATCATTCATGGGGTACTCGGAATAGTAAATGTAAAATGGTTAGGAAAATTAAACACCCGTGAAATAGGTGAATCCATTCCAACGACAGAATATCTAACTGCTTGAATATTGAGCCGGGAGTTAGATTTGCTGTTACTTGTTGGTTAGTTGATTGGTTGGTTGATTTTGTTTAACGGCATATCAACACCTCTATGGGTTATTTAACGGTGAAATCTAAACATTTTGTACATAATTTTATGATTTTAACTCAATATATTTTAAACGCAATTCTGCCTTCAACTACAGATAAAATATATTATTGGTAATTCTACTATAAATATATTGCTGGTAACTTTTTCATATGAAAATGTATTTTTTTACTTTCATAGTGTTTTGTTTTTGCTTGGGGATTCACTATTTGCTCATAGCTGTACCCCAACAGGTTAGGGCAAACCCGATAACAACAGCAAATAAAAGGTGGTTTGACACTTCTCAGAATCTCCAATCTCCGAATCAGAAGCTTTGCTGTCACTTGTTCTTCAGTTAAAAACATATATACATACACTCACACATACACACAGATATATATATATATATATATATATATATATATATATATATATATATAGTTTTCTTATTAAAAAATCATCCTTGATAATGGCTAAAAGTATAACTGAAAGCGCTCAGAATTACAGAACATTTGGACAGTTTCTACAAACTCTGTTTCCAAAAAAGAAAACACTTGTTCGAACAAGAAAAAATTAAATAAAAAGTCTTAATTGCAGTACCTTGTCTGCCGTATTTAATAAAACATATATAAATGAAGGATTGCTGCCTACATACACAATATATATATATATATATATATATATATATATATATATATATATATATATATATATATATAAGTATAGTATTGAAATTCGAGAGGTACATAACAACAACAATAATAATAAGCAGAAGACCACCATTAATAACAACAACAACAGCGAGAAAAATACAACAACGGTAAAAAAAAAGCAAAAAAAAACAGAATACTTTTTCTTGCACTTTGGAAGCAAAAAAGAAAAGAAAAATGATAGCAAGAAGACAAACGCTCCATCCATACCATTTATCTTTTCTTCATTTGGTAAGAAAATGAACGAGCCTTTGCAGGGAAAGGAAAGTTTACATAAGATAAAAATGAATGAAAAAATCCATTTATTATCTGTTCCAACCCAAACTAAATCATTCAAACCCAAACGTCCCCCCCACATTTTTCTTCTATTTCCCGCCACTGCCACATTCATTTACCTTGCGGCTTTGGGAGAAGAGCAGGGGTTAAATTATCTTTGGGGCTGCAGTGTAGTGGAAAATTGGAGAAAAGAGTCTCCAAGACAATTTATGGCCTATTCTTCTTAGACATTG